GCGGTCAGCCTGAGGGTCAATACGCGAATGAACGCGAATGAAGAAGCGAGTAACGATGCTTCGTAGCAGCGCCCCAGCCGCCCCAGCCCGCCGCCAATGCACCGCGGTAAGCCGGTCAAGCCCCAAGGCATGGCGGAGCGTGTTGGAGCGTGGCGGAGCGTGGCGGAGCATGGCGGAGCGTGGCGCGAGCGACGACAACAAGAGCCCCGTTACGCCGCTACTTTCGCTCGAGGCGTAAAGCCCTCTCCGATTAGTAGAGCCCACGTAACTGATATTCAGCGAATTTTTAAATAAAAACAACGAGCTAGTGGTAGTTTTATTCATGAAACACTTCGGTCGATAAAGTCGACAACTGTGATACGACAAATTTAATATGTCATTATACTTTTACTTTTACTTTTACTGCTGTGCAGTCTCTGCAGTGCTCGGGAACGAGTGAATTTAGATAAACACATTAAACCACTAGGTATTATGGTGCATAATTCAGAATTGTATACAGCCTTAATATACTTTTAAGTATGCACAAATTTTATGGCTGTATAAAATTCTGCATGTTTATGCACGACTTAATATGCATAAGGATTTAGTGTGCACTGCCAAGCCAAACTGAACAATGGCCGCAACAGTCCTCAGTCCTGATTAAAAAAAAAAAAAACAAAAAAACACTGCAAATGCAAGAGACAGATCACCACGAATTTAGGGTGAGATCACTGGAAAAAATAAGGCGACATGTGTCACATTAATTGGTGTGACCACAATCGATAAATACGGTCACTGTCACACCACATACATACCAGGGACGTCACATTTGTAATGTGACACATGCCACATTAAGTTTTTTCCAGTGATTTTGCCCCTGACTTTAATTGAATGATATATTTTTTAAACCCTGCTCTTACTGACAGGGATTCTTAAATGTTACTCAGATTTAGTGAGGTCGAGATTATGAATCCTTATCAAAAAGGAGTGAGCTTTCCCAATCATCACTCAAACGGAGGCAGATTTATCAAAGAATTGCTCTAATCCGCTCTAATCAAACGATGCTATCTCCTAACAGTAAAGCTCCCAGGAGAGCGAGGAAATTTATAGTCTTTTATACTTTTCAAGTATAGGGTAGTTTTACTTTTTGTTATCTGTTTACTTGCCATTTTCATTATAATGTTGGGAATTTCTTTAGTGGAAAAATAGTGATACTTCTACCTACTAATTTACCAAGTGTACCAAGTGTACCTATATATATATAGGAAGTACCTTGTTGCTGCTTGCTGGTTGCTGTTGATAAATCCCATGACGGGGGTAAATAATATTCTTTCAAAGTTCACCTCATCTTCCGGAAGGCAAGTGGTGAAGACCCCCCAGCAAGGAGTTTCTATACAAAGACGGCGAACAGAGCATCGAAGAGTACAATGAGCTCCGCGGTGCCTCGTAGAGGGGGGGTGGGGTGGAGGGGGCACCCAAACAAAACGTCGCGGTGGAGCGCGGAGGCCGCCGCATCGCGTAGTGAAGCGCGCCGAGTGCCATTTAGCCATTGCGTCACTGCCGGGCCGGGCCAGGTCGGGACCACGGCACCTCGGAGGTGAGGTGAGTCACCTGTCCGACCGGCGTGGACCACTTACTCGTTGCGATCCGCATTATGCAGTGCGTTGCCCCAGCGGCTGCGGGTTGCGTTAGGAAAAGGAGTAATTCTGTGCTCCACTAGCCTTGCACACTGCAAAGCCAACAGTGTTCTTAGTACACACATTTGTGTGTACTTGGCCATAATGTATGTCCTTAACTTGGATATCGCACACACATGTACATTCACGGAGAAAAATGATTTGTACGCTGCAACCAAACTGCGTCCAGTCTGCCCCCTGAACTGTGATGATAGGACTTTTCAATTAAAACTAATAAGCTGTTATGACTGAGCGTCTAAAATTTTAAATACTGCCGTTGTGCTTTGTTTAGTCGAGGTACCCGAATGCCTTCAATGCTTGTGTACGAAACCCTTGGCAAAACCGTGTTTTTATGTTCTCTCCAAACATCTCTGGTCGCTGTGACCAAACTCTCTGGTCGCTGTGACCAAACTGTCTGGTAGGATGACCGCCGAGATGCGAAGTCACCTCCAGCCGAACGAGCTCGGTTGCGACAGCTGGCTCCCCCACCTGTCGTAGTAGCTCAGTGGCTCCGTGCCTGGCGGCTGGATAGTAAGCCGGGTCCGGCAAGGGTTCGATCCCCGGTCGGAGCGTAACCAGTTTCCTCAGCGCGGTGCCTCTGTAGCCGATCAGGGGCCCGGGGGGGATGGACTGAGTTTCTGGAAAATCGGAAAAGGGAGAAAACTGAGCTACTTTTTCCAAAACTTGTCACCCAACGCAATAAAAATGTTTATATGCAGCGACTAAACTCCTTTATCAATATCAAAGAAGTGCAATTAAAGATGAGAACTAGACGTCTTTGTCCCTTTCGTAGGAAATTTTTGACGGACTGACTAAAGTAAAGTGACTAGAACACTTCTGTTAGTATAACCAAAATGTTTAAACCTATAGCAACTAAACTGTTTGGTCGTGACAACCAAAGGTTTTATCGCAGTGACCAAACATTTTTCTCAGTGTGTGCACTATGGCAAGTGCACACTCATGCGTGTACTTTGGCAACTCTTGAAACTCGACTGTAGTCTAGTATCACAGTTTTAACTGTAGTACTAATGGTACTGCAGTTATTTGTGTGATACCATGCGTGTCCTGCAGTTATAAGTAAGTAAGTGTAGGACACTCAGTGTGTTGACAGGTATGATCTTTGTAACAGGGACTTTGTATGAGATGAGGGTTGGTTCGGAAATTGACAGTCAACTTCAAAGTTCAAAAATATTTGTGTCCGTCGGGACTGAGATTTGAAGAGCGCTGCCTGGCTGGACTGCGGCACCTGCGCCGCATGACTTCTGGCGTGAAGTATCATCAACGAGAGCTAACTAGCGAGTCCATCCCTTTAGGAGCCTGTGACGCCCTGGGTATGGTACAGCACGAAGATGTTGTTTTTTGACTACGGTTTGCCTGTAGTGTATCCTTTACGGCAAAATATGAAGTACGGTTCTGTACTGTGACAAACCGTATACAAAATACTACTGTAGTATCTGCCGTAGTTGTGTACGGTATTTTTATCAGTGTTGTGGAGCATGATTTCCGAGCGCTCCCCGTATCTGTTCTCATTGGTCCTCTATACGTTTGCTATTGAACGTTCAAATATGGAAGCGCAGTGCAGTCGTCCGCAGTCCGGGAAAAGATGAGTCAACTGCTCCTGATCGCCTGCCAACGCGCTTCCGGGAGGCGGCTCGGCCTATGCCTCGTCCCATGGCAGCAAGAGACTAGTCTCTTGATGGCAGGCGTGGTGGCTTACCGTGCGGCGTGGCAGTGACATTGGCCCCCGTCCAGCCCAGTCAGTGTCCTCTGCCACTATGTCCCGACCCGTGCAACAGGTCCGGGAACGTGACTGCTAGATGAAATAAAAACAAAAAACGGACCGGCGAAGAGAGCTATATCAGGAAAATCGCACACAAGTATTCGTAAAGAGAATTATAATCCGGCGTTCACTGCTCGGCCGCGTGGTTTCTCTAACAAGTAGTGCTGTATATCTCACCTCCGAATCGGAGGAAGATGAGAGATTAGGGTGATGTGTCACGTGGAAGGGCAATTACCTTCAAGCGGACTAAATTTGCCGACGACGTGACATCACGCCTCTATCGAAATACGTCGTCCCGTTTACTTTCACTTTAGGACACTTGTTTGTTACTGCTCTGATTGGTGCTTGGCTCATGCTGAATTTTTGAAGTTGAAATTGTGTTTGGTTCAAGGCTGTGTTTGTAGGCTTGAGCAGAGGAATGAATGGCCTTTCTCCAACGAGCACTGAGACGAGGTGGCACAGTGTGTAGGGCAGGAGGAAGATGTGAAGGGAGGGGAGGGGGGGTAATCTAGGTCACATGTCTTTTAGTCAGGTCAACAACTAAGCCGTCCTTTGTAGTCCTGTTTAGCCTCATCGTCGCATTTTGGTTATACGCGTCCACAAGACAGATGAGTTCCCCCCGCCCCCTGTTATGATATTGGCTCGATACGGCTCGTCTCGCAGGGCCCAACAGCGCCGCCACTTTTACCGCGACGGGGCCCGCTGAGAGTGAGAGTGGTGGGGCGAGATGGGTCGGGGAGGAGGGGGTGAGGGGGGCGCTGCGGCCAGCACCAGTGGCGCCACTTTTGAATTCAACCGCAAGAATGTATGTCGCCGGAGCCTCCTTCATGCAGTGGGTCAGGTCAGGCCTGGTCAGACCTGGGCAGGCCTGGTCAGACTTCCCATGGCCGGCCGTGCAGCCTTGTACACCGGTACAGCACGCCGGCCGGCTGCCCCAATAACATGCCATCATCCACGAGCGCCACCACGCGGCCGCGCCACGCCACGCGCCGCTGCCCCCCTCCCCTCTTTCCCCTGGATGTAGCAAGGTCGCCCCCCCTCCTCCCCCGTTGCGCGCTCGTGTGAGTGAGGATGAACCAAAGCTCTGAGTGCCCCCCGGTCTCATTAAGCGTACGCCTCTCTTTTTACACTTCCATGTGAGCTTCCATCCCTGGATGCCCCCTCTTTTCATTTTTAATTTTAGAATCTCCATTTTTAACAGGAAAATACATGCCCACCTATTCCATTCTGTGCCAATCCCTCCCGGCACAGGTGCGG